TCGCAGTTCAACGCCGCGGGCCGCAGGTCGAACTGACACGTGAGTTTCTTGGACAGACCGTGAAGAGCGTTCCGGAACTTGAAAGGTTTGCGGCCCCCTGCGCAGCGAATCAGACATCGACCAGCCAAGAAGCATATTCTGAAATTATGCGATTTCTTCTCCGTTGGTATTGGCGGTATTTGGTCACAGTCTTTGTGGCGAAGCATTAAATTCCCCGTATGCGGTTCTACCTCCAATAACAGAGCAATGCTTCTTTTCTTGTTGTCCACTGCGTACGCCAGTGCGTTGGGCGATCTAGCGATGGCGCCTGGGTCGCGCAGGTGCACTATCGAGCCCGCGCTGCCAGGTGAACCAACCCAGCTGTCGCGCGCCGCCGGATCTGCGCCCGCGCCGACTAGAGCCTTGATCTGCGATGTGCGACACCCCCCCTCACCGCTCGCGAACCGCGCGGCGGCCAGCGCCGCCGCCCGCCTCTGCTCGGCGGACCACGCACATGACGCGTGCATTACCTGCTTCGCCAAGTGCTCGCCCTCTCCCCGCGCGCCGCCACGCTCGACCACCGCCCCGGCTAAGGCGTTCAATGATTGAAAACCAGCTGCGTCGATGTCCTGCAACGGCGCGTCGGTCGTGACCCGCTTCGAACCTAAGGCAGCAGCGCGACGTATATCTTTCGAGGACTGCCCGAATTTTCTGCGAGATGGGTCCTTGCGGCGCCTCTCCGCGCCCGCGGCCCCCGCGGCAGCGAAACGCGCCCGATCCCCCTCAGACAAGCCCCTGCGTCTGTCGGCCAGCGCCTGGAAGTCCCTGTGGAAGCCCACATCGTTCAAAAAGATGAAGGCGCGCCACGCGCCGCTGCCGCCGCGGCGCCCGCGCTCGGCCTTCTGGAAACTGTCGGGCTTGCGAATCCTGGCGCTGGGGGCCCTGCAGCTTCGGGGGAACCGCAACTTGCGCTCTCGAGAAGCCACTTCTGCAAGAAAGCCGTCGACGCGCCCAGGAAGGAAGACATGCGGGTGAACGACTTCGCCCTGAGGATCTGGCGACTTGGCCCGCTCAGCGTCTCAATCCTGACAACGCTTGGGATCAGCAACAGCGCCAGCAGCGACAGGCGCGCCAATGCCGTCGGCGACGCCAGGTTGCCCCGCTTGAAGTCTGTGCAGATGCGGCCGCCCAAGCATTTTGCATCTGCAGCAAGTCTAGCAGCGATGCCTGGCCTGGAAATCAGCACGGATGCTTTGCGCGGACACTTCCTGCGCAGGAAAGCGACATCGCGCTCTGTCCTCGCGCCATCTGCTAACGAAGTGGCGAAAATCGAGGCGTTCAATCGTTATGCCCGCTCGTGCGGCAATATGGTTGACCACATCGCACTCTCCATATTCATTTGATCTTCGCGAAGAACGCGGCCTCGAGCGCCCCTCCGGTGCCGGCCGCGACGCGGCGAGTCCGGGCGCGCCCGGCGCCTTCCAAAGATACGCCGCGTCGAAGGGCGTCAGCCTCCAAGAACCTCTGGCGCCCCTCGCGCGCGTCGCCGCCGAGCACGTCAAAGGCCCTGAACATCTGCACGACGGGCGGCGCGACGATGCGCATGCGGTCCAACTCTGGCAAGAATGACGAGCGCGCGAAAGCCATGCCCTTGCGCCGATGCCCCGAGTCCATCCGCGCCTCGCTCCGGCGGGCCCCGCCTGACGCCAAGGCGGCGTCGCCGCCCGCCGCTGCGTCCGAGCCCTGGGCGCCAGCTGCGACGGCGGCAGCGCCGCCCGCGCCCTCGGGCGAACGGCGTTCCACGGGGGCCCTCGGCCACGCCGCGCCCAGGAGACGCGCGTGCTGTCTGAGCCGAGACGACCCCCATTTCTTAAAAACCTCAACGACGGTACGAAACGATTGCCCAGGGCCCCATCGTAGACCCGGGGCCTAGCCCAGTGGGCCGAGCCGCCCAAAGGCAGAGAACGTCTCCAAAGTGCGGAGTTCCCCCGGCATCCCCTGGATCGCCGCCCCCCCCCCCCCCCCCAGCGCCCCCCATCGCCGACGCCGCCCCCGTGGAGGGGGCCCGGCGCGACCAGCGGCGCCGCCGACGCCCTCTGTCCCGGGCGCTGCCTGGTTCTCGACCTGACGCCCGCTGCTGGAAGGCGCTCGAGAACAGGCCGCGGCAATGCTCCAGCAGGCCGAACTGGTCGATGGCGGCCCCCTTGCCGAACCATCTTCTGCGCGACAGCTTGAGAAAATTTAGACAAACAGCGAACGCGAGACCAATGGCAACTCTCTCCCTCCATGCGGCCTCCTCCGCCCGGTCGCGGGGGGCACGCGGGGCGCGAGCGGCGATGCGACTCTTGTCGGACCATTCCCCGTTCGGAAGCATCCTGAGCACCGCCGGCCTCTCGACGACGTTGGCGCCGAAATGCCCGCGCATCGCCGGGGCCAGCTTGAGCCGACGGGCGCGCCCCTCCAGCGGGGGCCCATGTCGAAGCACAACCGCTTGCGGATCTGATCCTTGAGGGCGCGCCGAAAGTGCGACATTGATCCAGCCGGCTGCGTCGCCATCGCCACCCGAACCACCCCAGTAACAAGCCGCTCGCACATCTCAAAAGTGAATTTGAACACTCCTGCAACCAGGCGAGCGTGACAGTCGGCACGAAGGCGGCGCCAGTCGGACCTGCCACCGCTGCCCCATTCGGCCCGCCTCTGTCGCTGATGGGCAACCTGCGCTTTTGATGGTAGTGCTGGGAAAACCCACTTGTCGCCCAAGCGCGCCGAAGCCCCTGGCGCGTCGTCTCTCCAGTCACTCGGTCCAAGCAGTGTAAAATAGATAATCATTGCCCCACGACTGTTGACATGACCTTCGCGCTGCGCAGCTCGTCGCTTACAGCGGCCCCCCAGCAAGGACCAGGCGCCGCGAACCGAATGCCAGTGGAAGTCCATCCTTGTGGGCCGACGAATTCCCTGATCGCGGTGGTCGCAACCATCTCCTCGGTCCGATCTCGCTGTCGCCCTGGCATCGGGGTCTCGTCGTAGAGGCCGCGCGGCGCGAGGCAGACTGGCGCGGTCGCGGGCGCCTCGCAAATGAGGCGGTCGAGTGATCTTCTTGACAAAACCTCAACCAAATGCGGGATATGACACGGTTGCTGAATATCGTTTCGATGCATCCCCGTGAAGCATTGAGATCAGCCGCCAACGCATTGGCATCCCTGAGCGAGTTCGGAAGGAACGGGTCTAGCAGCCTGACCGCGACGTCAGCTGCCGCCTCGTTGATCTGGCTTCCAGCCAACGCGCCCCAATTCACGCGTTGCTCGACGTGCGGCGAGAGCTTCGATGGCGCGAGCGGCGCGCACCAAAGCGAACGACATCCTCGATGGTGACGGGGGCCCATATCGCAACAGCCATGACGGCAAAGTCGTCACGTAATGAAAGTGTTCTGCATTCCTCTGGCGCCGCCTGCGCGGCTAGCCCTGGCGGGCCGCGTCGGGCTCGTTTCTGATGGCGGCTTTTGGGCTTTGCGGCGGGCTTGGGCCTTGGAGGCTGCGGACGGGCATGCGCGACGACAGCGACAGCAGGCGGCGCAACTGGCGGGCCCGACTCCGCCGGCGCCCGATCGGCCTCGAACGGCTCAAATTTATTTTGGTGGCCTGCGCCCACCTGTAGATCACTGCCAGCTTCGCCCCCGTGACCCACTCAATTAGCGGCGCTGCAGCCTCGGCCTCATGCAGCTCGCCCCACGCATCGCCCATTCGACGGTTCAGGATTCCATATGGGAGGAAACGCCAGCCCACAATGGAAAAGGCTTGAGTCAAAAAGGCGCCGTCACAATGGCGACGCAATGCAATGGATAATGCAATGCTGCTGCAACGCAATGGGCTGCTGCAGCATTGCTGCTGCAATGCAACGCAATGCTGCCGCAACACAGTGCCGAATGTTAAGGTGCTGCAGCGAAATGAACGATGATGCGCCATTTCTGGCGCAATGCCACTTATAACGCTGATGCTGCAATGCCATTGGTAATGCTGCTGTGTGGATGCCTGTGGTTTCGACCACCACTGCCAACGCCGTAGTGTGTTTGCACAATAACGCGAGCAAGATAACACAGTGCTTCTAGCACGACGCTTGCATAATCCCAGGGGTAGTTCCGAGAGCTCCAAAACAGTGGCCTTGAAAGTCAGGGCCCCAGGCTCCGAAACAGCGGCTTTGAACTTCAAGCCTGTATGGGGGGGGGCACTCGCATTACAGTCTTCGTCCTCGTCCTCGCATCCCTCCTCTTCCCCCTCCTCCTCCTCCTCCTTTTCCTCCTCCTCCTCCCCCTCCTCCTCCCCCTCCTCCTCCTCCTCCTCTTCGTCCTCGTCCTTCGTCTTCTCGTCCTCCTCCTCCCCCTCTTCCTCCTCCTTTTCCCTCCTCCCCCTCCCCCCCTCCTCCTCCCCCCTCCTCCTCCTCCTCTCTCCTCCTCCTCCTCGTCCTCGTCCTCGATCCCTCCTCCTCCCCCCTCTTCTTCCTCTCCCCCTCCTGATCCTCCTCCTCCTCCTCGCTACCTCCTCCTCCTCCTCCTCCTCCTCCTCTCCTCCTCCTCCTCCTCCTCCTCCTCCTCCTCCTCCTCCACCTCCTCCTCTCCCCTCTCCCCCCTCCCCCCCCCTCCTGATGCTGCTGTCCTTCTGCTCCTGCTTTTGTTCCCTGCTCCTCCCCTCTCCTCCTCCTCCTCCTCCTCCTGCTCCTCCTCCTCCTCCCCTCCTCCTCCTCCTCCTCCTCTTCCTCTCCTCCTCCTCTTCCTCCTCCTCCTCCTCCACCTCCTCCTCCTCTCCTCCTCCTCCTCCTCCTCCTCCTCCCCCTCCTCCTCCTCCTCCCTCCTCCTCCTCCCCTCCTCGCACCCCTCCTCCCCCCCCCTCCTCCTCCTCCTCCTCCTCCTCCTCCTCCTCCTCTCCTCCTCCTTCTCCTCCTCCTCCTCCTCCTCCTCCTCCTCCTCTTCCTCTTCCTCTTCCTCCTCCTCCTCCTCCTCCTCCTCAAGACGCCCGCCGCCTGAGGAGACCACGGCCGCCTCGCCCGCGCGCGGCCCCTGGCGCGGGCTGCAGCTTGGCGCCGCCGCGCTGCTGCTCCTGGGTGCGCTCACGGGCGCGGCGCACCTGGCGCGCACGGCCCCACCCTGCGCCGGGGAAGCAAACGACCGGGGGCGGACTTGGCCGAGGAGGAGGAGGAGGATGACGAGGAAAAGGACGAGAAAGGAGGGAGGGATGGAGGGAGGGAGGGAAGGGAGAAAAGGAGGGAGGGAAAAAAAGGGAGGGAGGAGGAGGAGGAGGAGGAGCAGGAGCAGGAGCAGGAGCAGGAGCAGGAGCAGGAGCAGGA